ACATATTGGTAGAAAAAAATCATCATATATCAAATATTGGCTGCACAGATTTCTAAATATCGGCATCGGCCAGAGAAAAACCCACATTAATCGACCTCTAATAAATACAGCTTTGGTGAGACTTCAATATAAAATAGTTATTTTGAACTTTTACAATTTGTATGTGTCATTACAAAATTAGATTTGATAAATGTGTGCATTATACTGAACTAATTGGTTTATGTTTAAATTGTGCAATTTTCTGTATTACGTCTAATCAATTAGCTGTTAAATTTTATTAGATGAATGGGTAAAAAAGAAACATATCGGTAAAAATAGCCATCATATATTGGATATCGGCTGCTCTGGTTTCTAAATATCGGCATCTGCATCGGCCAGAGAAAAACCCACATTAATCGATCTCTAATGTGTAATCAGGAGGTGATGTGAAACTGGTGTGTGAGTGCAGTGCATAATGGGGCCTGTAGTTCAAGTGAATGTTCGCAAGGACTACATCGCTGGTGATCCTAACAACTACATAGTTATCTTTGATAAAAAAAAAAGATAAATGTGTGCAATTATTGGCTTATGGGGTTAAAAAAAATAAACATCAGTTTAAAAACGCCACTATATATTGGATATCGGCTACCCTGATTTTGAAATATCAGTAGCTGCACTGGCCAGAGAAAACTCCATATTAGTATACTAATTACTTATTTATTTAAATCATAAACTTATGAAGATGTGAATGTTTAATCAGTGTTAGCAAGTCCGCTTTGACAGCCCTAAAAATACAATTTCTTATCCTTAGAAAGAAACCAGATGAAGAGATCTTCCCCATTTAAAAAAAACTCCAATGACCCTCATTCTTTTCACTGGCGCAGTCAGGTTTACCGCACCAATCGTCCCCGTCTTGCCGCTCGACTGTGTCATAAATATCATTCCATCCTTGTCAGGGTTGAAAAAGCACCAGCGAGAGCTTAGCACTGCATTATTACCAGGGACTTACGGAGGCAGTCTTTTACACACACACACACACATATGCCTCAAGAGAAGCCCACTCCTGCGCTCCCAACTAATGTTTGTTTGTTTCTTTAACACGTTGTCGGAGGCAGGCCGGGGGTGCAGGCGATAAGGAAGAACTGCAAATCTCACCAGGCTCATGCAAGGTTTGCTTTAATTAGTGTGTGTGTGTGTGTGTGTCTCTGGCTCAATGCAGACACAGAGGGTCCCTGGTGTGTGCGACAGTGGAGAAGGAGGGATTGTTGTTTTTTTTTTCTGTTTCACAAGCGGCAGCTCCACATCTCCTTCATCCGTGTGTCCGCCCTCTGCTTTCGCTCAGTGCCGCTAATGAGAGCGGATTATGGGGATGCGAGATGAAAGGCCTGTCATTCCTCTGCTGACGAAGATCTGTGTGTGTGTGTGTTAAAGGTTTTATAGGTGATCCCAGTGCACCAAAACCGTTTTATGTTTACAGGAGCAAAAGGGAAAGCTGATAGCTTTAACCTATTTGCAGGTAACCGCATTAAACATGCCCTCGCCCCCCCCTTGATTTGGACTCTCAAAAGGGCAACTTTGTGTGGATGTGATGCTGAAGGTTTCGGGTTTGGTAAATCATCCCTGTGGCTTTTTTTTTTGCGCGGTTGGGAAATCTTTTTTTTTCTTTGAAGTGAAGAAGCAAGGCAACGCTGTCGGCAGATGCACGTCTGTCTGAGCGCCAGCCTCCAGCTCTATGGGATTTTATTTAGTGTGTTTTTTTTTTGGAGTCTTTAAATAGCATTGAGAATAAATTTTCACAGTTTTGCTTAAGCAGCCCCGAAGAGATGGGACCTGTTTGGTCTGTGGAAGTGGAGGATCTGAAAAATAAGAGGCTTTTATAACCTCATTAAAGACTTTTAGAGAGATGAAGTCCTTTTGTAATGTTTTCCAAGACAAAATAATAGAAATAAAGTATGAAAGTAATTATAATAATAATTAAATAATTATAATTAAATTAATTACCTACTGCAAAATTAGTTCTACTTTATTTTTGATTAGTAATGTTCACAGCTAAAAACTTGAAGCAAAGTTTCAAAGTACTCAAAGTACATTGTACTTTTTATTTTTATTTTTTATTTATTTTATTTGGTAATTTTTATCACTCCAAATTCAGAAAATACTGCAAACAATTCTTTCATTTCGACTTAGTCCCTTTAATAATCAGGAGTCACCACCGCGGAATGAACCGCCAACTTATCCAGCATATGTTTTACGCAGCGGATGCCCTTCCAGCCGCAACCCAACACTGGGAAACACCCATACACTCTTGCATTCACACACATACACTACGTCTAATTTAGCTCATCCAATTTACCTAAAGTACATGTCTTTGGACTGTGGTGGTAACCGGAGCACCCGGAGGAAACCCACACGAGCACAGGAACAACATGCAAACTCCACACAGAAATGCCAACTGGCCTAATTTAATAATTAACAATCAAGGCCTATTTTATTTTGGTAAAATAAGTATAATCTAAAGGCCTTTGCCTTTCATATAAGCCACTTCTGATACCAAACTATCAACCAGAAGTCAATTTATTATTTGTTGTTTCTAAAACTTGAACAGGTGACAAGACTTGTAAGTTAGTGTAGTTCCTAATCTAATTGACCTAGAAAATAGCTCCCTTTAATTTTCCGTTGGTTGGCTTTTTTGAAATTTTTGAGTGAGATGCTAATGGTCTAATCCGATTCAATGATTTATGCTAAGCTAAGCTAAAAGTACTCTCACCAGAATCAGAAGTTGGCTGAATGGAATAAAAAACCGTAAAACTGAGCCTGTTTTCAAAATAAGTGGAGTTACATTCATTTGGACAAGTTTAAAGATGATTTTCTTAGCATTTAATTTTTTTGAAGCCTCAGATTACTGATTTTCAAATTGATGTATTTCATTAAAATGTAGTTTTTTGTTTATTAAATTGTTTATTCAGCATACAGATGATGTATACATTGACCCATATGGCTTATGGTTTCATGATTCAAGATCATTCTGCTGTAAAAACAGCTCTAAAAACAATAGCTTTATTACTCAACTCAAGTCAGGCCAGTCTCGTGCAATAACTGTAAAGATGATCAGCTATGCATTTCGTTCAAATATAAATTGCTCTATAAACATTTGTATTATTCAGCTTTCTTTGTATTTAGTAATTAATGTTGATTTAGTTTAGTTACTGTGTGAAGTGGATCAGTTATTAGTTCAGTTAATCTACAAGCAGCTCTACTGCAGGCGTGTTGTAATTTGCATTCATAATTGATTTATTTTAGTTCATGTGTAAAGCTGAACAATTTTGAATTCTATATAACAAATCTAGGACATGTCTTGTGTCCTCATAATTCAAAATTTGTAAAAATCATACCTAATGGGTTCTTTTGATCATCAAAATTTGCCACAGGTTTTCTTTGAGGGTTGGGTTTAGGGGTAGAGTAAGGTCAACTAATATGCATGCTTTACAGTATAAAATACATTTTGCCTATGAAGAGTCCTCAAGTGTTTGTGGTTATTTGCTGCAAAACTCAGCAGGTAAATACTGTAAAGACGAATAATTTTTAGTTATCACCTCCCTAGTTGATAGATTACACAAGGAATAGTAATAGTGCCATTTTAATTCTGCTTATTTGCTAACATTTTTAGCCCTAAAATCTGAACATTGGATTGGAAGTCAGGTTCAAAACTTTTGTTTCATTTGTTGTTTTTACAGGTGGGATTTGGGAAATTAATTTTTTAGCACTCCATAATCCAGAAAATAGAGCAAATAGAAGGTAAAAAGATTAATAAAGTATAATCAGTTGTATATCGTCATATTTCTCTGTAAAAAAAAACCTTTAGCATATAGATTTATATATAAAACTTTGGTGTTTCTGAGGTGGAGATTTATGAAAAAGAGAAAAAAATATATAATATTTTTAAATAGTTTTTAAAGATACTTATATTGTAGTTTAGACACTATTTGATAAAGAGTAAACAAAAGAAATGCTAAAAAAGTAAAAAAATTATGAGCCGTCCTGTGAATTTTGTTTTCTTTTTTTAAATATTTCCCAAATGTTGTTTAACGGAGCAAGAAACTTTTCACAGTATTTCCTACAATTTTTTTCTCCTGGAGAAAGTCTTATTTGTTTTATTTAGGCTAGAATAAAAACGGTTTTTAATTTTTTAAATAATCATTTTAAGGTCGAAATTATTAGCCTCCTTAAGTGAAGTTTATTCATAAACTAATTTCGGGAGGATTACGTGCTTATGATTTATCACGGCTGGTCTCGAATTTGTTAATCAGTATCTTCCAATCATTCGAGACATAAGCCACTATAAATAACCACAGTTTTCAATTCACTTTATCTTCGTTTGGAAGAAACCCCCCTCCTCCCCTTTTTCCTCCTCCTTTACCTCTGACTGGGCGACACGGTGGCCCAGTGGTTAGCACTGCGAGCCCCACAGCAAGAGTTAAGTAAGTTAGCACTGGCCCCCTAGGACCGGCGGATGTTTCTGTGAGGAGTTTGTATGTTCTCCCCGTGTCCGAGTGGGTTTTCCCCGGGTGCTCCAGTTTCCTCTCACCATCCAAAGACATTCAATATACATAAAAAACCAAGCATTTATCTAATCCTTGTGTTCTCTTAGCTACAGCAGCGGGGGAGTTCTGAGATCCACCGAGCTCAGGCTCCTCTCTCGCTCTGCCAAACGGGAGGAAGCCCCGGACTCGAGGAGTACTTGAGCTCGGGGCTCTCTCCCGGGACAGCATGCCAAACAAGCTTTTATAAATCATCAGCTAAGTGTGAACTCTTGAAGCAGTATTTATTTTGGTTGTCTACGGAACAAACCATTGTTATACAATAACTTGCCTAACTACACTAACTTGCCTAATTAACCCAGTTAAGCCTTTACATGTCACTTTAAGCTGAATACTAGTATCATTGAAAAAATCTAGTAAAAATATTTGTACTGTCATCATGGCGAAGCTAAAAATAAATCAGTATACTGAAAAAAGTACCCCAAATCACAAAACTGCCTAATGCATGAATGCCCAGTGTTTCAGCCTGCAGTGTCTCACCTTAATAGCTCACTAAAGACGTTTTTTTTTTTAATTGTGTGTTTTATTTTTGCTCTGAGCTGCGGGCTCCTGGTGTGAGTGTTTAACCTTCAGTCGTCCTCCGGGAGCCTCTGCCCGTCCTCTGCTGTTTGCACTGATCTCATTGAGGCCAGTCTTTCTGCGATGGCATCTGAGTCCGGCTGAGGGGGTCACACCCTGTGATTCCTGCCCTGTGAAGTTTATTGCCATGCTTAGATTTCCCGATTTGTCCACCTTCTGCAGGCTCTGCTTCCCCTGATGGTGTGACTTACGCTCAGATGCTTGATAAAGACGACGGAGCCGGATGGATTTTTGCTAAGATCTGTCAACATGATTGACGGTACAGTGCAGGCGCTGCAAAAAATTATATTCATAAAATGTGCCAGAGCTATCGGACCAAATGCAGCTTGAAGATATATTACTTACTTACTTTCTAGTGTGTGTGGGTGGGAAGGTACCTTAGTTTTGAGTTCACGTTTAGATGTGGTGCGGCACAACAGGAATAAGAAACAAATCCTCCGAATTTTGAATAGGCTGAAGTGTTTTATCCAACCCAGTGTCATTCTGAAAACGTAACCCTATATACATTTTTGGAGAGCGCCAGATACATCCCAGGAGCTATGTTTTTTTGCAGTTTGTGTTTTTTTGCAAATCCACCAGAGGAGCTGTGTATGCTTTTTGAAATCTCAAACTTCTCTCGCGAGTGCCATTTGCACCTGCTTTTCTCGCGTAAATGCGCCAGAGGCCACTGTCGATTGAATGACTGACTGACTGACTGACCGATCGACTGACCCACCCTTCTCCTTTCCCAAACCCAACCAACAGTTTTAAAAAGCCACATTCTCACCCTGTTATTTACTCATTTATTTTATTTTTTGGTTTCTGTTTTTGTCTTACCTGCTTTCTGGAACCGTTCTTTGCCATACTCAAACCCCGTCATCGTGGTCAACTCCTCTCTGCGTCTGCCAACGTACATAACGAGCTACTGGAAAAACTGGTAACAGCAGGAAAGCAGTTCATACGGAAGTAACCGGTCAGCTAGTAAACGCGAAAAGGAATAGCGTCTAGCCCTATAGCATTTGTTTAAAAGACGAAATGCAGCTATACGTACTTCTGGCTAAACAATTTCCGATCTGCAGAAATGATATATAGGGCTACGTTTTCAGAACAAGTCTATGTTGGTTTTATCTTAATCAGCTACTGAACTGAAATGCTTCCTATGATACGAAAGTAGTTTTTCCAATTACAAAGTCCGCCATGTAAATCCCGGATGTACCATTTCATGACTGCAACTTCCTCTTAAAGAGAATGGGAAATGACTCTTGTTTTATGCAGGTTACTCCCAAAATACACCTATAACTCAATAACGGAATAAGAACAACCTTTTTAGACTATGCGTTGGGCACACCAACCATTTTTCCTATCCTTAAAATAGGGTATTCATCCTATGGCCTATGTCTTGTCCTATGTGAACTTGTGTTATGACTCGTTTCCACTGAGTAGTACAGTACGGTATAGTACGTTTCAGTACGGTCATCTTTATTAGGCTTGTGTCTAAACTGCCAAATGATACCAATGGTACTCTTTTGGTGAGTGTGGCGTTGACAGAAAGTTGCATTCAATGTCATTCTCACTGAAGTTCACAAATCGTATGAGAAGCACTTCTTACTAAACAAGTGCTTTATATACATAAATACTTGTGTATAAATAATAGCATATTGCTAACCCGTCCATGAAAAGGATTCGATCATAGCTACAGTTCAATCATAATGCGAAATAAGCATAATGCTTACTGTAACGTCTGCGATTATATAAAATAAAATAAATAAAGATTTATGAGCACATACAGAGACTTACAGGCTCAGAAATATTACCAGTTAACAAATAAAATAAACCCAAAACTTACATTTAGGCCTCATTTGGATACAAACCTCTTATTTTTAATTCTTCACCAGCACATTTAACTTTAACATCTTGGCAAAAAGTTCAATTCCGAGTTCATAATAGTCCAAAAGGTGATGATGATAGTTAAATATGTTCATGTTTTTGGTTGCTGATAGAATCATTTGCTCCTTTGTTTTTTTCGGGCATCTCCTTTGTTTTTTCATGATTCACTCTTGCTTTTGTCCGTTTCTGAAAGGATCAGATGTCAGAAGCCCTTCAAGAATCATGCGCACTATTATTATCAGCTCAAGAAGTTTGTTATTTTAAATTTAGACACGAGGCGAGCGATCGCGAGCTCTCTGGAGAAAGTGAAACACTTTAGACAGGCCTTGGGAACAACGCTAGGACACATGCACATTCTGCACTTCTTGGCTTTGTGGCTTTTCATCAAGAAGCCGGCAAGGTTTGTTTGAGCTCGGGTCGACCATGGCTTGTTATTATATGTATATACTGTAACGGTGTAATGTGTCGGCTGTGTATTTAAAAATATAGCTTCCTTTGTTTTCATCCTCCTGGCTTGTGTATGCGCTAGTGATATATCTCTGTAAACTAATAGCTTTCAGTTGCATGTCTTGCTCCACCTTTTACCACCCTTTTGTTGTGCTAGTTACCCTTTGGAAAGGGTGCCTGAAAAGCAGTATGGTTTTGCTTTTTAATACCTTTTGACAGTGGAAACGGGGATAAAAGTACCGACCCGTACTGTATCACTCAGTGGAAATAGGCCATTAGAGGCCAATGTCAGTCCCAAAGCAGTGGACCAATCAGAAGAACTCTGAGGCAGGGCAATTATAGTGAGCTTCTGTTTACAGAATGTAGCATGTTGGCATGACAATAGTTTTTTTTTCTGTTATGGCAACATGGCAGAGGCAGTACTTACAAACTTTTTTCTCACACTTTTATACAAAAAGATGCATTCTGTCTGAATGGCCCCTCAGTTTCACCGCTGTGGTCTTTTTCTGCCTAACTCTGGTGACCTCTGGAATGACTGTATTTGTCATCGAAGTACATGAACTTTGATGGTTCAGAACACAAATATGTACTGTTACATATCTAAAATAGATATTGAAGTTAAAATTATTCGCCCTCCTGTGATTTTTTTTCTTTTTCTTTTTGAAATATTTCCTAAATGCTATTTAACAGAGCAAGGATTTTTGTCACAGTAATTCCTTTAATATTTTTCCTCTGGAGTAAGTCTTATTTGTTTTATTTTAGCTAGAATAAAAGCAGTTTTTAATTTTTAAATTTTAGGATCAATATTATTTGCCCCCTTAACCAATATTTATTTTGACTGTTTACAGAACAATTTATTCTTGTATAATAACTTGCGTAACTACCCTAAGTAACCTAGTTAAGCCTTTAAATTGAACTAGCATCTTGAAAAATCACTTGTAAAGTATTATGTACTGTCTTCATGGCTAAGATAAAATAAATCATTTATTAAAAATGAGTCATTAAAACTATTATGTTTAGAAATGTGTTGAAGAAATCTTCTTGAAGATATCTATAATTATAAATTACTGTATATATTGTTTGTGACCATGATGATCTGTTTAACACTTGTATTTGTACTGTTTGTATATTTTCTATTTTTTGCAATATAATCCCCTACAGTATATAGGCCATAAGTGCGTGCGAACATGAAATTAACATTTAAATCCCCTGGTGCTTAAATACAGCATTCACCAGAGTTGTGAGAAGACCCAGAAAAGCCTCGACCCTCAAATCTTTTTCTTAATTAAAACGCAATATGTTTACAGCTTCAGTTAGCGATATTAAGCTGTTTATAAACCAGGCTCTTCTGAATTATGCAAATGAGCCTTTCTGTGGAATCATCTCCAATTAGAGGAAGATACTTTACATGCTTTTAAAGAAATATTTGGACATCATTTGACACTCGGCAATTATGGGCAAATCTTACATCTTTACTCAGAAAAATGACTGAGAATATGTATATATGAAACATGGAGAGTTTCAAAAACCCTTTTGTATGAGGAACTACTTTCTTCCGGATTCAAATCATAAGCTGACAGTTAAACAGCTGAGCAAGCATCTTTTAAACTTTAGATCTGTAGTGTCTGCTTTTTGCTGGCTGTATGTGGGCGGAGTAATACACAAAGGGTAAAGAGGCTGTAGGAGTTCTGATATTGCAGAATATCGCACGGCTATCAGCCAATCAGATTTGAGAACCAGACAGAACTGTTGTATAAATATATATATATATATATATATATATATATATATATATATATATATATATATATATATATATATATATATATATATATATATATATATATAAGCAGAGGACAGTTTGACAAATATTGCAGCTGTTGGACAACATAATGTACTGTTGAGGTTGTTTTAGTCTAGAATGTAGTCGTTTAGATTGCATCTATACAGTTTATTTATAAGGATAGTGCCTAATTATATTTTATGTACAGCCCTTTATAGTATTAACTATAATGATAAACTGGTTTAACTGTTACTATGTTACCACAAATACTGTAATATACTTCAGTTTTCACTACAGTAAGCTGCGGTGTATTGTAGTTTAATATATTGCTGTGAAAAACAGTACAGTGTTGGGTAATTTGTTCTTATTTGTTGCCATAGCAACTATAAAATTGCCACAACAAATGAATTCAAATATGGTTCAAAAACACTAATATTACCTGTAAATGACTGTAGGCTAGTATTGTGTTCATGTGGGCTTATAAACACAGCGATATGAACAGTAATAATGTTAGCCAATAAAGACCATAGGCTGGCATTATGCAAATTTGTTGTTTTGAGATAAAGCTGGACTCATTTTCAGGCGGTTTAATATCATTCTGTCTTTTGGAAGACTATATAGGACTTGCAAATATTTACCCTCACATCCACAAACACTAATATCACACACTACTGTACAAGGAAATATCTGAAAAAAAAAACACAACAGGTGCAGTTTAATGTATAGAAATGCTTTACATTTTATACTACCTTGTTCATGGCAAATCAAATGCAATCCTGCAGAACATATTTCTAAACAGGATTTTTATTTAAAAGCCAGTAACCCTTTCTAAAGGAGTCCTATTATGTCGCTTTTTACAAGCTGTAAAATAAGTCTCTGATGTCCCAAGAGTGTGTATGTGAAGTTTCAGCTCAAAATACCACATAAATAATGTTTTATAGCTCCTTGAAGCTCCATCTTTTAAGCTTTGATCCAAATTGTGCCGTTTTGGTGACTGCCGCTTTAAATTTAAATGAGATTGTGCTCTTTTCAAAAGAGGGCGGAGCTTTAAATGCCTATGTGTCAGCATAGTGGCAGATTCCAGCCTCTGATGGTAGACGGCTGCTTCTCACCCAGGGCTGTTTATGCTAATGAGGGGGAAATCATCACTAATGGGCGTGGCT